GGCGGTCCTCTCGGTCACCGCGTGTCCTCTTCAGCCTCCACCAAGCTGCAGCGCGTGGTCCTGGTCGCCGTGGCCACCTTCCTGTCGCTGGCCGGGCTGGCGGGTGCCTGCGTCTTCCTGATCCTGAGGTTCCGGGACCTGATCAAGCACTGTTTCCGCTCCCCGCCGAGCATCCCGGCGCAGATAGGAGAGGTACATGTGCGCGCGCCGGTGGGAGGGTGACGGGTGGGGACGACCAGGGACAGAGATGAGAGCTAGAAGAGGTGCGGGCTCTGTACCCGTGCCAGCAGCCTTAGTCACAGCCCCTGAGCTGGGGCGGGGGGCGGGGGACGGGGTATAAGCATGTGATACACGCACACAATAGAACACCACTCCGCCTTGAAGGAGCTCTGACCCTCTGACCCCGCTGTGGCATGGACGGGCCTGGAGGGCATCGGGCCAGTGAGCTGAGCCAGCCAATCACAGAAAGACGAAAACCACGTGACTCCACTGGCGTGAGGCACTTCAGGTCCTCAAGTTCAGACAGTGGAGAAGGGTGGGGACGGCGAGTCCGCGTTCAGTGGGGACAGCGTGTCTGTTTTGTAAAATGGAAGTTACTGAGATGGAGGGGAGCGGTGGTACTCGACACTGCTAAGCCTTACGCTTAACGACGGTGCGTGATCGCTTTTACGTTATGTGTCTGTTACCACAATTTAAAAAAATTTAACGGCACCGGGTCAGCCAAAACGGCGACCTGGCCAGGAGCTGGAGGCAGGAGGGCCTTCTCTCAGGCAACACAGCGCCTGTGCTTTCTGGGGACGCTGGGGGCCTGGCTGGGATGCGAGCAGCAGAGACAGAGGTCAAGGAAGGAGCGTGCGTTCCGGGCAGACGTGTGCACTGGGGATTTTTCTAGAGTGAACGCACCCAGAGCTGTGGGCACAAGGCTTTGCACACCAGGTTGGAGGGGGTTACTATATGGCAAAGGCCCGCGACAGAAAGGTTGGGGGGCTCTTGAGGGAAATCTTGTTTCCCTGCCCAGCCCCAGCCCCCAAGGCTCCGGGAGGCGGCCGGGCCCTGAGCTCAGTCGGGACGTGTAGGGTTAGAAGCTGATGGAATACGTCCGAGCATTTGCTTCCGGGCGGCCAGCGAGCCTGCTCTCCCGTCGCCGACCGAGAGGTCCCGCGTGCTCCTTCGCTGGGAACCAGTCCGCGACCTGCTAGGACAGTGATGGCGAACCTTTTGAGCTCGGCGTGTCAGCATTTTGAAAAACCCTAACTTAACTCTGGTGCTGTGTCACATATAGAAATTTTTTTGATATTTGCAACCATAGTAAAACAAAGACTTATATTTTTGATATTTATTTTATATATTTAAATGCCATTTAACAAAGAAAAATCAACCAAAAAAATGAGTTTGCGTGTCAGAGGTGACATAGGTTCGCCATCACTGTGCTAGGATGAGTCCCCACAACGCGCCCAGTGCAGCGGGCAGGCCCGGCTTGTTCGGAGAGAGACCTCCTTGGTCACCATCAGGGTCTGACCGGGTCAGAGCGGCCAGGCAGGCGCAGGCCGAGTGGTGCTCAGGGTGTGGAAGTGGTTCCTCGGGGACAGCATAGGAAGTGAACCTGAGGAACACACGACGGTGCCGACTGAGACTGGAGCCCGAGGTCTGGGTTTCGAGCTGGTAAACTCATTACGGTGTCGTGTCCACCTCTCCCAGTACTTAAAGGACCCGGCTCAGCACATCCTGGAGGCCCTGGACCAGGACAGCCCGGCCGAGGACGATGCCTGGGAATCGGTGTCCGAAGTCTCGTCTCCAGAGCAGGAGCAGAGGGTGCTCTCCAGAGCAGAGGGCGCTCCCCCAACACTTTGACCCAAAGCGCTGTCGGCCCAGCCTGCGGGAGCTGGAGCGGGACCGAGCCCACGCCACCCAGCCTGCGGGAGCTGGAGCAGAACTGAACCCAGCCGCTCACCTGCTCCTGTCAGGACTTGCCAAGCCCAGGACTCCAAGTCCCCACGGTGGACAGGGCCACCGGCCCTTGTTGGGGAAGACACGTTTACTTTTTTCTTTAAGAATTTTCTAATCGTACCATTTTACGAATGATTCTACAGAGATAGCCCCCCAAAATGGTTTCTCTTAAACACTAAGAAGGCCTGTCATTCGTTGTTAGCAAGTGGCGCGGGCTCTCTGGTGAGCTCCCCCGTCGGACCCGCAGGCAGGAGCCGGGCCGCTCCTGGACTCCACAGGCCCTGTCGCCTGTCCGTCACCGCCCGCTGGCCCAGCAGGGACCCTGAGTGCCTTCACAGCCAGTCCCCGGCTTAAAGCGGAATTAATCCTGTAAATATTTTCCTAGTAATTTAAGGGGTTTTTTTTCAACCTCGAAATAAAAGACTGTATAGTTAACGTTTTAAAAAGTCCATGTGAGCTTTCCTTCTCCACGTTGCCTTCTTATTTTGGCCTATTTTCTGAGGTTCACGCTTTTTAAATAACCGCACCTGGACTTCGGTCTCCAAGCACACCCAGCAGAGAGGCGAGAACTCCACGTGGGCCGCCGGGTTCCTTGAAAAGGTGTAACGGGCCTTTCAGAAGCTGTGTCACCTCCGTTTCATGTGATGGTCACGTGGGCTGACCACGGCGGGCTGTGGGCAGCAGGGAGAGTCGGCTGGTGGCAGTGCCCGTGCCCACGGGCACGCGAGTCTCCTGACGGTGGGAGTGCTCACGGCTCCGTCGCTCCGAGCACGTGGGCTAAACTCGTTCCTATGACTCGGCGTTTAGGAGGTGGATGTGTAGCTTCGCACATACCTGCACACACCTGCACACACCACCCACACACACACACACAGCGACACAGGTGCGGTAAAGTCTGCTTTAGAAAGGCCCTCCTGGCCGCCTGACCTTGACAATGGGAAGAAGACAGCAACTTAGGAACATGAAGCTTCATGAACTGATGGAGCCCCGCCCTCTCTCTGGGGGGGTCTGTCCTGCTGGTGAGGAATGGGGTCCTGGGCTGGCTTTCTGACCGAGCACAGTGTGTCCTGCCCTCGGTGACAGGAGGTGAAAGGACACCCACCCGCCCTCTGAGCACCTACTTCATCTGTTGGGTGAAGAGTCAGCAGCCGGAAGGAAGGGCCTGCCTGGGATCATTCGAGGTAGAAGAGCTCCCCCTGCTGGGCGGGTGCAGCCTGCGGGGAGGCCCTGTAGGCAGCAGCAGCAGCCTGTTAAGACTTCAAACCCCTGCCCTGGCCGGTTTGGCTCAGTGGATAGAGTGTCGGCCTGTGGACTGAAGGGTCCCGGGTTCGATTCCAGTCAAGGGCACAGGCCCGGGTTGTGGGCTCGATCCCCAGTGGGGGGCGTGCAGGAGGCAGCGATCAATGATTCTTTCTCATCATTGATGTTTCTACCTCCCTCTCTCAACCTAAGATCAATAAAAATATATTAAAAAAAAAAAAGTTCAAGCCCCTGCCTGGCCAGTTTTCTCAGTGGATAGAGCTTCGGCCCATGGACTGAAGGGTCTTGGGTTCGATTCCAGTCAAGGGCATGTACCTAGGTTGCAGTGTGGGAGGCAACCAATCGATGTGTCTCCTTCACATCAATGTTTTTCTCTCTCTCTGTCTCTCTCCCTCCCTTCCTCTCTCTCTCTCAAAAAAAAAAAAAAATCAATGGAAAAAATATCTTTGGGTGAGGATTAACAATAAATACCTAGTTCGAGCCCAGCAGAAAGGAGGCAGACCAGTTCTGCCGGGAAGCTAGGAGTGGCGTTTGAAGTAAGCTCACATGTGCCCCCCTGTAAAAGCGGGTACAGCGTGGCAGGGGCAGGGCAGGCGGGCTGGGGACGGATGCCCACAGATGACTTCACGGGGGAATGTTTAACCTCGTTCAGCAACTTGGCCAGGGCACACCTTCTCCTGGAGACTCGCAGGTCGAGAGCAGCAGGGAAATGCCGCCGGGAGAAGGGCCTGAGCCGCCATCCAGCCTGGGCTGACCTGCTCCAGGTAAAAGTTCCCGCCTCCAGACTGAGAGGGGAACGGGATGGAGAAGTTCTCGGCGAGGGTGAGCTGTCAGTGGAGCAGGAAAAGGACGTTAGGAGAGGGGGCCGAGGACGGAAGCCTGGGCCTCTTCCGTTTTGGTGCGGGGAGGCTCCTACTCGGTCTACGACAGCCTGAAGGACTGCGTGGTCCCTACGACCATAGGACCCGCCCCAACTTTACGCAGTGCCTGGACCTTGTGCTGTCTGCGGACTCACGCCCTCCACCAGCAACAGGTTGCCCGGCAGCAGCAAGGACTGCCCCCGCAGGGCTGAGCATGGAAACAGCGTCCCCTACCACGGACCGTTTACAAACCTTCACTTTCATTCCTGCTGGGGAAGGAGCTGGCCAGGTCGCTCACGCTGGGGCACAGCCGGGGGGCCACCCACAGCCGCGCCACGCGCTTTCCCTTCCTGCCACTCGCTGTATGTGCAGATCCTCAAACAAGTGCAGGAGGCCGGCCTCCGCTTTGGGGGCACCCATACTCCCAGGGCATCCATGCGCATCTAACATCGGGGCCACCGCTCCGCACGGTAGGTGGACAGCCCAGGACTCCCCTGCGATGCCTCTCCCGGGGCTGCCTGGTCTCCTGGCTGCCTCACCGACGGTGAGCACGCAGACCAGGGGAACGCCGAGACAGCACCAACTCCATGAGCAGAGAGCAGAGCCAGACCGAAGGGAGAGGTGCGCCCAGTTGGTCATTAAGGGGAAGGAAGCTACGTCTGAGGCCCACGCTGGGCAGTCCACGAATTAGTGTGGAAAGGGGGCGGGGCCGCGGTCCCAGGCTCGGGAGGTCCCCGCAGCTCGGCGCACAGGAGGCAGGTGCTGGCCGGGCCAGGCTCCACGTGGATCAGTCCGTCCCCATGGGGCCGGGCCAGCTCACGGGCCCGGCAGGGGCAGGGGGGACTAGCCTCTCCCCACACCCCTTCTTCATAAAGAGAAACTGCTTCTCTGATGGGGTCCCCTCAAATAACTGAGAAATAAACAGCAAACCAATTTGTATGGCTGTTTTCTCCAAGATTTAATAACATTAGGATGTGTGGGGAGCAATTATTGCAACAGGCGACAAGAGAGGGGGAACAAGTAATTAGCCTGACAACGTTGGCAGCAGCACAAACGCACTGACATGGTGAGAGAGCGTGAGTCCCAGGGAAGACGGCCGCAGGACACGGGGAGCCGTGTCAGCATCTCCCCGCGCACGTGGTCCCGCGGAGAGGGGCGCCGAGGCCCGCAGGCTGCGGGCGGCTCACCCACAGCATCCATGTGGAAGGCTGTGACATTCCCCGGAGGCAAACGTGTGACACAGACCCGCAGGGCCAGGAGGCCGCCGCAGCGGTCAGGGCCCGGGACCCTGGACTCCGGCCGGAACACCAGGGCGGTGCTTCCAGCTTCGCGGACAGCTGTCTGGTGGGGCCATGGTGTCTCAGGACAGAGGCACCTGCAGGAAGCGCATGCCCAGAGCTGGAGCCGAGACAAAAGCCGAACTTCTCACCAGGCCGTAAGCATTCCCCTTGGGAGGAAGGACTTCGTCCTGAAACGAGTCCACGCTTGGCCTGCGGGTCATGCTTCTGAGCGCAGCTCCTCAGACTTGCTCGCTGGCGACCCTCGCGGTGCAGGACGCCTGCTGCTGAGCCGCCTGCCGCCCTCCGGTCTTCACGGAACCACACGAAAGCGAGCTCAGCGCATCGGGGACCCCCCTCCTCAATCAGAGTCAAGGAGTCGTTTCCAAAATAGGCTTTCAAACTAGTCCTTCGGGCATTTAAAAATTCATATAAAAATCCACTTCTTTAATACACAAGAACAAACATTTCCTTTAAAAAACCTCACTTTTAAGACAAAATAACAATTTGCTGAAACACCCTTTGAATGGCTTGGCACTTATCTCAGCTACACGGAGTTGCACTTTCTTGTACATCTTTGAAGCAAAGCAGTTACCTCTAAATCGTGTGATGACACACCTGACTCAGGACGCAGACCAAGCCCAAGCAGGAATAAAAGGCTGGTGCTCACCATCTATCTGCATAGTCTCATATACATATTAACAATCTAGCCATAAAAAACAGAAAACAAATAAAACTATTTCAAAACTCAGAGCATAACAGTGTAAAGCAACACATTCAATGTGCAACCTATTCTATTTGACGATGTGGAAACTACATGAAAAGATAATAAAAACGTATCTACAAATAGGATATGGCAGAGGAAATGAGGTTTCAGAGTGATCTAGGTCCACAGCTCTTCAGTTCTCCCGAACTTGTAGATGAGCGTGCTGGAAGGAGATCAGAACAGGTCAGGAGGAAGAGCCCCGCTCCCAGCCAGGCTCTGTGCACAACGTACACAGTGTGCATTAGGTCCTTTTTTAAATGAAGGTACCGCTCACGTTTCTGCTTGTTTGTTTTTTAAGAAACACGCTATGGAAGCAGCAACCTGGGGTCAGTGTTAGCTCTGCACCCCCCGGCTGGGCGTCCCTCCCCCAGCTCTGCACCCCCGGCTGGGCGTTCCTCCCCCAGCTCTGCACCCCCGGCTGGGCGTCCCTCCGTCAGCTCTGCACCCCCCGCTGGGCGTCCCTACGTCAGCTCTGGGCCTTGTTTCCTTGTCTATTAAATGCGAGCACACCTGCTTTCTACGCTTCAGGTAACTAAATGGGAACAAAAAGGGGCCGGTACAAAGCCGCCAGCCGCGGCCCTGGCACACAGCGGCCCTGGTTACAGGCCTGCGCACGCTCTTCCATCGCAGGCGGCTCCCCTTCTACAGACATGCTGCGCGTGGTCCTAGCCTAGGGGTTTGTGCGAGTCCCACCGTCCACACTGCTCGTCCAGGAAAGGGGGCATTTCCACAAATGTTCTCAGCGCGACTGAGAAAGCAGGCCACTCACCTTAAGAATATCAGTGCGTTCTGGAAAAACACCGCCAGCCCCGGGTAAACGTCAGTATCTGCACAGAGGACAGCGCACGGTCACACAGGCAACGCGACTGTGTGCGCCACTCGCGTGACAGGCTCGGCGCATCCCCAACCTGCGACCACTCCTTCACCTAAGACGGCGATCACGAGACTGGAAGAAGAAAATGCTCATCTCACGTGCCCACACCCAAGGCCTGTCTCACTCTGGACGTTCCGCTCCAGCGCCGGTTCAGAAATAAACACAAAGAGAAGACGCGGAGGGAATTCCTGGTGACGCACCGGTCTGACCCAGCCGTGGGCAAACTACGACCCGAGGGCTCCGGCCCGTTTGAAATGAATAAAACTAAAAAAAAAAAGACCGTACCCTTTTATGTAATGATGTTTACTTTGAATTTATATTAGTTCACACAAACACTCCATCCATGCTTTTGTTCCGGCCCTCCGGTCCAGTTTAAGAACCCATTGTGGCCCTCGAGTCAAAAAGTTTGCCCACCCCTGGACCGCTGCTTTCCTTTCTCGATTCTGGAGTTTGTGTGCGGGTTCGGCAGGGAGAAAGGGCCACTGTAATTCCCCACCGCGTCCTCCCACCGCATCTGCCCGGAGCAGTCACTGTCCTCACGCGAAGAGAAGGGAGAGCTGGAAACTGCTTCCCTGCTGCAGACAGTTAAGGTTGCTGAGCTACGATGTTGATGGAAACACTGCACCGGGGAAGGCCCGGCCACTTGGGCCTCTGACATCAGCAGGCACCGGAGCAGCAGGGCTGAGCGCCCAGGGCTGTGCCGCTCCCTGGATCGCATCCCAGCTCTACCACTAAGATGACCACCAGATGGCCACCTCCTCACGCCGTGGCTTCCCCTCAGAGAGGAACGCTCGAGGTGCAAGCACATTCGGTTTAGAAGAGGAAGCACGCTTAGTGAGCGATGCGGAGACACGAGGACGAGGCCATGACCGAGACTGCTCAGCACGTGCCAGTTCCTGAACGATCAAGACACAACCAGGGAGCGCACAGCCCGCACTGGCCTCGGACCTTCCTACACACGCCCGTTTCGTAACAGAAACCGGGAGGTTCACGCGCTGCTTCAAGCAGCCACGCAGGCGCTCCAAGGAGGCCGGGCCCAGCCGCCGTGAGTCCGGGCCAGAGCTGACAGCGCGCTTCCTGCAGGACCGTGGCACCAGCAGGCAAAGCTGCGCCGGAGCAGGGGGTGCTGCCGGGCCGGGGAGGGTGGCTGCAGGGACTGCTGGCGGGTTGGGGCTTTGTGGGGCGACAAGTCCTGCAGCGGCACTGGTGACGGAGCGCAGCTCTGTGCTGTACACCCGGAACTGTACGCTGGGTGGTGAATCACATGGTGTGAAACCACAGCTCAGCAAAGCTGCTCTCAGATGCACTTTCCTCCCGGTGAGCTCACAGGGCGCTGGCCCGTCAGTGTTCGGAATGAACTAAAGGACACATCTTGGACACGTCTGGGAGCAGTGTTATTGCAGCACAGTCCCCACTGTCCCTCGCGCTGCCCGACTCTGTGCCACGGGCTTGCCGGGGGCACGTGTCCTGGCCAGGCCACCCACTGCACTCCACGACCCCAGCTACTACACCTGCAGTCTCCCAGCCGCAAGCGCCTGAGCAGGGAAACCAAGCTCACTCCCGGGGGAGGAGCGGACTCGGCCGAGCATCAGGACCCTCCGCAGGCCTCCTGGGGAAGGGAGGAAGACTTACTTACTCTGGGTCACATAGGCACCAAAGAGAATCCACATGGAAGCAATGAGTGACCCGAACATCAACATGAAGCCGATGAAGAGCCAGACGCGAGCACCTGCGTGGAGAACAGCGCGTGAGCTCGCCCCCCGCACTCGGTCTCAGGGAAACCGAACCCCAGGGACGCTGCTGACCTCACACACGCTCTGAGGTCACACACGTCACATGCTTACATGCACCTGCTCGACAGTTCACTGAAGGAAGATTTTTAAAAACTCAAAGGGCACGTTACCTTTCTCCTGGCCAGAGAAACTAACAGCGGAATGAACTAACCAGGCAAGCTTTGTAATTATTTGACTGAGTTGATTAATTAAACCCTAACTGAAGATTTACCCCGTTGTATACATTGTCAAAGTAATTGCTCTAGTAGAAGTAGCAAAGGTCTTTCAGCTAGCATCGCCCCGAAGGAATGCGAGGCTGTAAGGACCGATGTTAAAATCCTGCGTTACTCAGTGTGGTGCAACACGTGAGCAAGCCTGCCAGACCCTCAGCCCTCACTCCTAAGCCCTCCCACCGGATGCAACACAGAAACACGCAGAAACCCCCTGGCACGCTTCCACTGTGTAGGCAACAGTCATGGAATAAAACGCCATGACTCAGGGTGAACAATGGACTGTGGATCCAGAGAGACCCAAGGCTAATACAAGTCCTACCTTTAAGCTAAAGAATTCAGTACGCTGCAATGACGTTTTCCACAGGAAATAGTTACTAGTAACATAACCCACAGCAAGGTCTGTCAAATAGGTGAGAGTGGCCAGGAGGTGGGGGGAGGCATTAACCACAAAGGAGTGATGGCAAAGTTCTACATCATGATGGCAACAAAGTCACACAACTGTATACATTTGTCAAAACTCATCGAACTGTATACTTTAAACTGGTAAGTTTTACTTTTTATAAATTATACTCAATCAAGCTGACAATATCCTATATAAAAGCCTAATATGCTAATGTCTGACCATCCCGGGTTCGGTTCCGGTCAAGGGCATGTACCTTGGTTGCGGGCACATCCCCAGTGGGGGGCGTGCAGGAGGCGGCTGATCGATCAGCACTGGGCGAGATGAACCGGACATGCCCTAGAGCCCTCTCACGGTCCCTTTCTGGCCCCAATCGTGCACCAGTGGGGTCCCTTGGCCTGGCCTGTGCCCTCTAGCAATCAGGGACCCCTCAGGGGATGTCAGAGAGCTGGTTTTGGCCCAATCCCTACAGGCCAGGCCGAGGGACCCACTGGTGCACGAATCCATGCACCAGGCCTCTAGTATATGACCACACCTGACAAAGAGGCCAAATGCTCAACTAGAAACGGCTGACAGCAGGGCTTAGAGCCAGGTGGTGAGAGTTCAAATCTGGGCTCCCTCACTCACTTGCTTGTGAATTCAGACAAGTTATTTAAGCAGCCTGTGCCCTAGTCCCATCATCTAAAAGTGGGGACAAGAGCACTTACCTCACGGGAACACGGACGATTAAATGAGGTAATGCGTGTAGCACTCAGGACAGTCTCGGGTCACACTAGGTGTCTGTAAGTAGTCCCTAATATTGTTAAGCATCTTTCAAACCACCCCCCCTCCCAATTTCCAGCCATAACCGCACAAACCCCTCCATGTCCTGAGGTTGGAAATAAGAGTTTCTAGCCCCGCCTTCTGCATAAAGCATGGAGAGCCCACTGAAAACAGACCCTGTGGTTCTAGCAGATGTGTTAGAACCTGAGCAAAAGAAAAAGACCACTGGGTGACAGTTCAAAAGAATTCAAACTCCAGAAAAATGCTTCAGCGGTACACCAACCGCACACGCTTGAAGCAATGCTGCAGGGAGTGTGGTTACGGGTAAAACACGAGCCCTGGCCTCATCTCCTGACTGCCACGCTCTGCCTGGCCGGCATCTGGGGCAGCATCACTGGCCGGCGCTGGTAAGAGCGGTATCACCAGCCGAGGAAGAGTGATCCGAGCCCACCACCCGCTGGCTGTGCGCAGTCACATGACACAGTCACTCTGGCGGTAGCCTCCCCTTTCCTAAGGACTTAGGACGGTAACCTCCACAAGCTCCACAAGCCGCTGCCGGCCCCCCGCCCCCCCCCGCCCCCCACACTACAAGCTTTGCTCCGTCTGCTGGGATGGCCCCTCGCCTTTACCTGTTCTTCCCAAACAGCCGCTCTCGTAGCTGTCGCCTCTCACCTGGGCATTGGACACCGCGTTTATCCTGAAACAAGACAAAATCCCCCAAGAAGCTTTCTCGGTGCTTAAACACTCACCGATGCTTACATATCATTAGGAGGAAAACAGTCCTAACTAAAGTCAGTATCTGAATAACTGAACATACCTTTCACGTAACACCCTAGTGTACACAAAGGTTCTACAAGTCTTATTTTCCCAAGGCACACCCCAAAGCTCCCTTAACTTGAAGAGATGACCGTGACTGGTCCCCAGGATGACCATTTTTTGGATTCTCTGCCTGGCTTACATTTACCCTGATGACTCAGGGTGCAACACCCCATTTAAGGTTCTTGTTATAATAAAGAGTTTCAAGTGGTGGTTGGGGGAGGGGTAGGGAGGGGAGTTTGGGGGATAAATAGTAATGGAAATTAAAATAAAGAGAAAATATTTAAAAAGAGTTTCAAGGTTTCTCTTGGTGTTGAGTGACGTTCCTGCCCGTTTCTAACCCTGAGAAAGCATGTGGTCTGTGGACAGGACACAGGCCGCGTTACTCCGCTCCTGTTAGAGCCCGGGCTGCTGCGGCAGAAGTGGCCTCTTCTCAGCGTTCGGAACGAACGGGAGCATTTTTCTACAATTAAACTTCAAAACACTCCCACAGTATAAGGCAATTCTGTAACCTTCATGTTTAACATTTTTAATTATTAAAAGACACCCATGAAAAGGTTTCAAATTCTTTTATGAAGTGAGATAACGGATAAACCTGGAAATGATTTAATAAAAAAGAAAAGCCATTTCTTTCTCATTTGAGACCAATCCTGCCCCACCCCACCCCACCCCCAATACTGGCAAACACAGTCAAGCAACACACTTAAAAAAATAATCCTCCACGGTGAAAGTTGAGTGCATGACAATACGTAAGGATGATTCACTAAAAATCTAGAAATGTAACATATTTCATTAATTCTGCGATGCCTTCATTTTTAAAATTCACCATTACTTTTTAAACTGCCAAGAAAAACTGTTACCAACTGTAATTATGAGACACCACTGACTATAAAAGCACCCTAAGCTCTGGCTGGTGTGGCTCAGTGGTAGAGCACTGGCCCACACACCAAAGGGTTGAGGGTTCCATTCCTGGTCAAGGGCATTTACCTAGGTTGCAGGTTCATTCCCTATCCCTGGCTGGGGCGTGTGTGGGAGGCAATTAATCAATGTTTCTCTTTCTCTTCCTTCCACTCTCTCTCTAAAAAAAAAATCAATGGAAAAAATATCCTCGGGTGAGGATTAACAACAACCAAAAACAGCACCCTGATATTCAGAGGTATTAAAATATAAAAAATAACCTTGGTACTGATAGAATAATCAGTTTAACAAATATAAGGAGAAAAATCACATGACAATCTGTACAGATGCTAAAATGGTATCTAACTCAGCACTCATTTTTCATTTTAACATGGGAATGTAGTTATTTATTTAGCAGTTAAAGAAGAATCCATCAGGGAGCATTTGAGATCTTGCTCCCCAGCATATGTCACCAGTTTGACTTATCTAAACTCTTATATAAATTCTCAAAAAAAAGAATCCATCAATTAAACTAAAGAGTCATTTCAGATAGCAGACAGCACTGAACCTTAGGAAAACATCTGTTCAGGAAGACAGCCCTGAGCTGAGCGGGCCCTGCCTTACATGAAGAAGGCCAGTGTGGAGAACACCCCGCAGGTGTGGAAGGCGGGGTTCAGCTGCTCGGGCTTCGCGTACACCACGGCCGCGTCGATCATCACCCACCAGCCTGCGGAGAACTGGAGACAGAGCCCAGTCACTGGGGAGCACTCGTGCCTGCCCCTTGCCCCCCGCTTCTCTACCCACCATGACAATGGCATGGGAAGTCTCTCTGCTTCAAGTTTTGGAAAATAAGTAGGAAAATAAGTAAGAACCCTGTTAACTTATTCCTGTGAGTGAGCCTAACTGATGAAATCGGTGCAAGATGAAAAGTTGTCATTTGGGATGAACTGTCCAACCCTTTCGCCCGCTGTCATCACGCGCCACCAACGCTCTAACTAACCTCCAACCAACCCGCTTCCTGATGACCATGTTTCACCCGCTGAACCGTCCTCACTTAACATGCCCACGCCTTCTGCTTCCACCAGTGAGCTGTCAGCTGTCATGTCTCCAAAATGATGTAACCTACTACAGTACAGTGGGGCCTTGACTTACAAGTGTCCCGACTAACGAGTTTTTCGAGATACGAGCCGTCTCTCGGCCGATTTTTTGCTCTGAGTTGCGAGCTAAAATTCGGGTTACGAGCCAGCTTCAAATACCCCACCGCTAGTTGGCGCAGCAAACGTCACAGTGAATGCCACAACATCAGCCCAGCATCACGTGTCTCACTCGTTCACTTTTTGATTTGACATACGAGTAATCTGAGTTATGAGCTCCGTCACGGAACGAATTAAACTCGTAAGTCAAGGCCCCACTGTACTAGTTAACAATCTGATTAAATCCTGTTTAACTGACTGAAGTTTGTCAAAAGCAACGCTTCTATGTAAACTAGGCTGAATGGACTTAAATTAGACAAGTTGTCAATGAATTTCATAGACAAACTAAGTGCAGACGAGATGACCATAAAAAGCAAGAAAGACTTAGAAACACCTGAAAGAATTCTGCATGCAGGCTGCTTCCCAATTATCTTTAGTTCCTGATGTGACTTTTTTCCTATTGGACTTCAGGCAGAGAACTATATACTGAGAGAGATGAATTTTTTAAAATGTAATAGAAGCCGAAACCGGTTTGGCTCAGTGGATAGAGCGTCGGCCTGCAGACTGAAAGGTCCCAGGTTCGATTCCGGTCAAGGGCATATACCTGGGTTGCCGGCACATCCCCAGTAGGAGATGTGCAGGAGGCGGCTGATCGATGTTTCTCTCTCATCGATGTTTCTAACTCTCTATCTCTCTCCCTTCCTCTCTGTAAAAAATCAATAAAATATATTTAAAAAAAATAAAAATAAAATAAAATGTAATAGAAACTGAAATTTGTTTTTTAAAATAGAGTTGGGGCCAGGAGTGGTTGGTGGAATGCTAAAGAAAAATTGGTCATGATTTGATTTTTTTTTTTTTGAAGCTGGATGGTAAGTAAATGGAGTAAGATGGGAGAGGGGCTCTTTATACCAGTCTCTATTTTTGTTTATATGCTTGACATTCTCAGCAATAAAAAGTTAGAAGTGTTGGGAAGAAACGGAAGTGAGCAGATCTCTCTCGCTCCCCTGCTCTCTCCAGCGCTGCAGCTGGGAAGGGCCTGGGGCTGCCTGGGGCCCTCCCGCTTCAGCTCCGGGAGCTGAGGCCGTCACTGGGCCCACACAGCCCGAACTCCACGCCTCACAGCAGTCACACTGGCTGCATCCAATGCTGAGCCTCTGAGGGCCTTAGAGGACTCACATGGCAACTTAAAATGCCACTGCCTACAGTAACTGTATTGTCAACGAAACGGAAGAGGTGACTTTACGTTTAGCAAACTTACAAGTCAAATGAACCCAGGACTTACCACACTTTGCTCAGTAACAGCACCGAGAACTGTGATCACTGTTTACATAAACAGCAGTGAAACAAATAGCTCTGAGTGGGTGGTCACAGCTCAAAGGATAAGCATTAACGTTCGGGCAAAAAATGAGGCGTACATGTGGCCAATGGGCTTTCACTCACCAATACGCCTGCGACCACAGAGGCCACGGCGTTCCTCCGCTCGCTCCAGTCGATGCACTCCCACTCCGGCCAGCGGACGTTATCCAGGAAGCCTGCCATGGCGGCCCCGCAGGCCCGGGTTGGTCATTAACACTGTGCCCTACAAATAAAAAGACAAAACCACAGAGGAAATGCGTTAAGAAGTGACATGTCTTACACAATGTCCTCTTTTAAAGCTTTAAAACACATTTACCACAAATCCACCACAGTCAGGAAGAAACTTCAGTACTTCAACGAGCACCTACCGAGATGCACACAGGTGCCTGCTGGCACTGTGCCAGGCGGGGCTCACCACTTGCTGACTGAGCATGTGGTCTGACAACATGTCTGCAAATGCTGTGACGCCTCCCATTCCAAGTGATAAAAGAGCAAGCGCCTACAACCAAGATCACTCTACCCAGCAAAGCTCCCGTTTAGAATTGAAGGGCAGAAAAGGAGCTTCCCAGAAAAGAAAAAGCTAAAAGGGTTCATCACCACCAAACCAGTATTACATGAAATGTTAAAGGGTCTTCCTTAAGGAGAAGAAAAAGGTAAAAAATATGAACAATAAAATGGCAATAAATACTACCTATCAACAACTGAATCTCAAAAACAAGCAGAACAGAAACAGGTTCACAGATACAGAGAACATTTGACGGTTGCCAGATGGGCCGGTGTTGGGAGGCTAGGTGGAAAAAAAAAAAAAAGAAAAAGGTGAAGGGATTAAGAAGTAGAAATTGGTTGTTACAGAATAGTCCTGGGGGTGTAAAGTACAGCACAGGGAATAGCGTCACTAATTCTATATAATAAAAGCCTAATATGCTAAGTGTCCGGTCGTCTGTTCAACCAATCAAAGCATAATATGCTAATGAATGCTAAGGCAGCTCAACCACTCACTATGACGTGCACTGACCAGGGGGCAGACAGTCGACTGGCCATCCAGTCGCTATGATGTGCACTGACCACCAGGAGGCAGATGTTCTGACTGGTAGGTTAGCTTGCTGCTGGGGTTCAGTCGATTGATACTGAGGGAGAGAGACCAGACATGCCCTGGAGCCCTCCAGTGGTCCCTCCCCAGCTGGCCAACCTCCCGCATCCCTCCCCGGCTCTGATCATGCACCGGTGGGGTCCCTCGGCCTGGCCTGCGCCCTCTTGCAATCCAGGACCCCTCAGGGGATGTCAGAGAGCCGGTTTCAGCCCGACGGCAGAACGACTGGTCGCTATGACGCGCACTGACCACCAGGGGGCAGACGCTCAGTGCAGGAGCTGCCCCTGGTGGTCAGTGCACTCCCACAGGGGGAGCATCGCTCAGCCAGAAGCCAGGCTGACGGCTGGTGAGCGCAGCAGCAGTGGCAAAAGCCTCTTCCGCCTCCATGGCAGCTCTAAGGATGCCTGACTGCCCCCGAAGGCTCCTGGACTACAAGAGGGCGCAGGTCGGGCTGAGGGACTCGTCTCCCACCCCCCGAGTGCACAAATTTCATGCATCGGGCCTCTAGTACTGTAATAACTATGTGTGGTGCCAGATGGATGCGAGATTTATCAGGATGATCATGTAGTAAGTGCCATAATATCTAATCACTGTGGTGTAACCTGAAACTAATATATTATGTCAATTGTAATTGAAAAATAAAATATAACTTAAATAGAAAAAAAGACTTGAAATGGGCAAAGACTTAAAAAGTCAATTACCAAAGCATATAAAAAGGTATTCAACTTCATTGGTCATCAGGGAAATACAAATGAATGGAATACCACACCTTCACTAGAGTGGCTACAATGTAAAAGATGACACTAAATGTTAGCAAGAATGTAGAACTGGAAATCCCATACGTTTCTGGTGGCTGTTTCTTATCTACACTAATAAAATAGAAAGATACAAATTAACCATTACTCCATCACTCTGCCACTCTGCTACACCCACAAGCCACACCCACCAGCCAATCAGGAGTGAATATGCAAATTAACCCAACTAAGACGGTGGCGGCCACAGAGCTGAAGCGAGCAGGAGGCTTGGGTTGCCCCTGGCGATGGAGGAAGACAAGCTTCCCACCTGCCCTGGCCTGGGCTCCGCTCAAGGCTACAAAGTTTCAATTATAGAAGATAAATAAATCCCAGAGCTCAAGGGGGCCCTGAAAAAAAAAAAAGGAGAGGCTGGGAGCTTGGGTCGCGGGGGGG